AATTCAGCTTTTTTTCTTTTTAAGTTACTGTAATAAACTATGAAGACTGAAGAAATGTTACTTAAATATTGGTAACAAAAACTCAACAAGCATTATTATGATTGAAAAAGCAGTAGAAACTATCTAAAAAAAAAAAAAAAAAAAGAAGAAAAACGTCAAATAAAATAGAAAAATTAGTAAACATTTGAACTGTTTGGATAGCAATATTAGATTTCTGACAAATCAATATATCACAAGAAAAGACTCAGAAGTTGGTACTTTGGAATTATTTAAGATATTGAGATAGAAATTCTCCAAATTTCTACACTTAAGTCCAGAAAAGAAAATCTTGTCCTTAATCAAGAAAAATATGATAAAAAAAATCAAAAGTACCTTGTCAGTCTTGTTTAAGAAAACATTTATTTAAAGAAGGATTGCTGCCCAGATACACAACTACATATAATAAAACGAGAGAAAACTAAAAGGAAAACACAAAACAAACTGTATCCTTATAAAAAGGTCTGAAACAAGAACCTATCTTATCAAAAACCAAGTGCTCAATGCATATAGTATGAAGGAAGCTAAACAAAGACAAAGCTGTAATAATAGCTAGAAATATGTCCAGAGATGCTAATCTATAATTGTAACCAAGTTATATTCCAAACCACCATCATCAGATTACCATGTGTAGCATAAATATTTACCCATTATTTAAATGTAACATACTTAATTTGTGAGAATAATTTTGAGTTTTGCATAAGACTTCCTAACATTCTTTTGTGTTATTGTTTACAGCTTAATTAAATATGGTGCCTCAAACAAAACATGATCAAATTACTGCACTGAAAATGGCTGGGATGAATTGTGAGGTGATAAAACAGTTGAATGTTTGTAGAAAAACTTTTTAATGTGCAGAAAAAGTTTCAAGAGGTGCAAACAACCTCAAATAGAAAGCATTGAATTCATACAAAGAGTCATTGAAGCTGTCAAAAAGATGGTAAAGAGAAATCCATAAAGAAGCATGAGGAAGATGACAAAAGAGTTGGATATTTCAGATAGGTCACTAAGGTGGATTGTGAAAGAGGGTTTATTGCTAAAACCATATAAGATTCAAAGCAAAAACGGTTTGGTAGAGGGAAGAAAATGTTGGAGGAGATGTAGCTTGCTGTAAACAAAGTATTTATTGTCAGAAGAGATGTTTTCTACTGTAGAGGCTGTGGTCAACTACTAAAATAATATGTAGTATGACATTTCACCAAGAAACATTCTCAAATGTGTCAGAATATACTTCAAGTGATGGAAACTCACAAGTGTCATAGTTTTGGCTGCTGTTGCATTTCATGGTTTGAAATCATTAGGTGTTCATTGAAGAAGGAGTTAAAGTGAATAGCAGAGTTTACCAGTAAATGTGTTGTCCTGTTGTCAGCTACATTTGAAAGTTGCTATGTCTTCACTCAGGACAGAGCTCCTGCACATATAGGCCAATTTAAAGCAGAACTGGTGCAAGAATCAATTTAGCCACAATCAAATCCTGACATTAATATAGGTACCTCCACGAGATCGCTAAAAAAAGAGCATAGCATGATGAAAAAAGGCGTAAACTTAGCGAAAACAAAATTTTATCGTCTAAATGTTTGTTATTATTAAGAGGAAAGGTCAAAGTATTTTTGGGGTATTTTTTTCCATTTTTAATCGTTCCTAGCACGTCCCGAAATTTTCGTTAAAAATCTAGTTTTTTTGAGTCAGCAAAATTGACCATTTTTTCCATTTTAAAAAAACTGGAAATCTGACTTTGAAATTTTTTAAATATCAATTATCATTTTTCAAAACTTATTTTAAGAAAATCAGAAATTATAATGTTTATTTAAAATATTTTGAACCAAACTTAACTTAGCTTTTGTGCCAAAAAGATGTAATTTGAAAATAAAACAAAGCAGGTCATAAACTTTCGCGTCTCTTGACATGTGATGAATGATATATTTATGAATTCCATGAGGCTAATTTGTTCTCTGGAAGGAGAAAAGTGAAATAATTTACATTTACGTGAACAAATTATTTACCCGTTATTTTTAACGAAAACTTCAGCGGTCTAATTTTTTTTTTTTTTTTTTGTACTTAGCTTTCACCTTTACGTTTATGATGCTTTATGGGAAATATATTGTAAAGAAATTAAAATAAAAATGTTAAGAGTGACATTAAATTTCATATTTCTTAAGAAAGGTATCTAATTAATTTATAGGTACCTTTCTTATGAGATTTTATCAGAATTGTACATAAAATACTATAATTGTATGTACATTTATTACATTCTACTGTTATTTGTATTTGCATTCATTTTATTATTAATTTTGATATTTCATTTATGGAAAAATGTCGTAACTGAGATTAATATAAAAATAAGATCATATAAATTTCATAAGATGATACTGATACTTGTAGGTACCCTTCTCAGTTGAAATTGAAAAATCAAATTAACTTCTCCACACGTGTTTTTGTAAAAGTAAAGGCCTTAACAGCGGAGAACAATGCTTAACTCAAATAACGCAACTTAATTATATTCTGGTTGGTCTTCCGTATTTTATAATTACAGCTCGATTATAAGCACAAAATTACATTTCTTAATTACTGGAGATCTTCTGATTAGTCAAAAGGATACAATTTACAACGCGCTAAAAAAAGATCTATCTCATAAGGACACTTATGAAAGCCGATTTTGACTTTTAACTAATTTTATAATATTTTAACAACTTAAATGTAAAATCTATTATAATTAATGAAATAACAAATAATTGTATTAAAAATTCATTTTCATCGAAAAATTTTTTGCTTTCAGAAAATATTGTCCATATTCATAAAAACAACGAAAAGCAAATAAAAGCATTTGAAATTAAATAATATCTTTGTTTTATTGAGTTTTGTATATTTACAATTCAGAGCGGATTTTCAGGTACTGCGTATCCAATTAAAAAAAAAAAAAACATGATTTGCATTCCTCAAAGCCCTGTGCTTTTAATTATTGTAATCACTAAAACCTATCGATCGAATTTCTAGCGTTTTCATAAAATTAGTTATGGGGGGTAATAAATATTTAAAAAAATATTTCTACCATGACTTTCATAAAAAAAAAACATATTTATAATAATTTCGATCATCTGTGAATAGTTTCTGAAAGTTTCATTAACATCCGATAATTATTTCTATTTTTGCACGATTTTTCAAATTAATGTGTGTCATAAAAAAAACGTGCTAAAAATTGTCTATGTTAATTACTAGTTCGCTGATACAAATAGAAAAAAAAGGTTTTTTTAATCAAAATTTAGAATGTTCTAAAAAGAAGGAAAATTTTTTAAAAATAATTAAAAAAAACTTTGGTCTTTCCTCTTAATAATAACATAAGCATTTAGACAATAAAATTTAGTTTTCGGCAAGGTTGGCGTCTTTTTCATCAAGCTATGCTCTTTTTTTAGCGATTTCGTGGAGGTACCTACATTAATACAATAGACTTTATTATATGGCCCCTATTAGAGAGCAAGGTTTTATGCATCTGAAACTCAAGTGCTTCAGACCTGAAAGATGTTCTAATGATATTGTGGTACAATTTGAACCAAGAGGTGGTGATGAAGTCAAGCACTTAGGAAAGAGATTAAGGACTATGTTGAAAGCAAAAGGGTGGTCATGCTGAATTGCAAATATATTTTAAATATTGTTAATAAATATAACAATTAACTAAAACTTTTTATGATAATAACTAATAGGTAAATGTATGTATTGCACCTGGTAATAATCTGATGATTGTGGTTTGGGTGTGAAACTCAGACTTACAATTATAGGTCAGCATCTCTGGTCATATTTTGTGTGTGTGTGTGTGTGTGTGTGTGTGTGTGAGTGAGAGATTTCTTAGCCAAATCAGCTTCCCAAAAAATGAAAGCACGTGCATACAAATCCGAATGTGTGTGAGTTCAAAAGATGCAAAACTCTGACAAGTATTTAGTGTAAGATAAAGAAAACCTATTCTTTATCTTTGAATTCTCCTCCAATAAAATACATTTCACATTATATTTAACTCTTCAAGTTTATTTCTAAAATCAACAATTTGAAAGCAAAAATGAATCTGTTCACTGTTACATTATTTGTTTTATCTCATCAAAGAACAAATTTAAAAAGGAAAATGGATATTTTTACATTAGAAAAAATAATGGAAATTTTTCCGTGTATTTTCAATTAAATTTTGGAATGCTTAAAGCAGGCTGAAATTAAAAAATTACAGCCTAATTAAGTAGAAAACAAATATATGTAAAAAAAAAAAATCATGGTATGAAAATAATATTTTTTCATTTTTCACAGAAATGCCAATTGAGAGTTTTCAGTACATTATTTTAAAGAAATATATAAATAATTACAATATTGCTTGAATAATACTTTTTAAATCATTTCATGCTAAAATAATTCATTTTATGTTAAGTGTGATAATTAAGTAATATTTTTGAAAATTGTTAATGATATTAAAAGTAGTAAAAGGCTATCCAAAAAGTTAAAAAAAGTACATAAGGTATTGTCAAAAAATGATCCACTTTTTTTACTTTAACAGGTTGACAGACTTAGGTGTGAAATTAAATAAAAAGAAACACAGAGTGAAACCCACCAAGAAAATAAAGCTTTTAAAAGGATGCCTAATTATTAGGGGGTAAATAAGAGTTAATTTTTTTGTGAAATAATGGAATGATAAATACCAAATATGAAATACTTTGTCCCATAATAGTGGTTACTTTTAACTATGAAATGCATATGCAAATGTAACAACTATTATGGGACACAGAGTGTAATTTCATTTTAGACAGTGGAGGGAGATTGAAAATATTTAAAACATGAAAAAAGCATCCTCCTGGTGAAGTGGGGAATGTATATGCACAAAGAAAAAAATTAATGACTTTTCACTCTTGACACTATGTTGACTGAAGAGATCTTTTTTTTTTTTTTTACCAATTACAAGGATAAATAGAAAAATATGTTAAAAATGAAGATCATCTCCATGGAGATACCATATAGTTGCAATGAACAATGAAATACATAATTAAGAGCATGAGGAAAAACCAAACTGCTTGCATGGCACGTCCACTTGTGAACTTATGGGTGTTGTAGTGAATGTACCGTAGAAGTGGGCTCAGTTCATTTCGTTGATATGTGATGAATGTACTCACCAGGAAAGCAAGGATATCTGCTGCTATTAACATAAAGAAGACACTGTTCCAGCTATACTTTTCTGAAATTACTCCCGTTAAGAAAGGTCCAACAGCAGCCCCTGTAAAAAATACAAATAAAATAATAATTTAACTGGGAATTAAGGCTTTGTATATTTTAGCATGATTAAAAGGGTAAGCTTTAACTTTCATGCACCCCCTCCCTCCCAAAAAAAGTGTCAGGAAGATGGTTGACACTGCTATTATTTTGTACTACCTTCACTCTCTCAACAATGTTTATTTTTTTTTATTTTTTGTTTTATTCGGTCAAGTTAGCTCGGGCATTCATGAGTCTATACAATCTTGCATCAAGGTCAGAAGGTCATTAGGGAGGCATTCTGTGTCATAACATAGCTGGTCAATGTAGGTGGTTGCTGGGTGACCAATTTGTCTTACTCCATGGCTAGGTGTCCAAAACAGTAGTTCACTAGCGAGTTCTTGTTTTGTTCACCAGCAGTATTCTGCAAAGCATATTCTACATTTGCATAAGCTTATAGGAATATCAGTGATGGGCCCATAGAGCTGTGATTTAGTTGGATGTTGTCTCCAAGTGATGTCCAGATTACATTAATTTTATTAAACGCAGCTCAGGCTTTAGCTATTTGAATTTTCACATATTTTTCAGTAGAATTTATCTTGCTTACTAAATATATAAAAGATTTGACAGATTTTATTGATTCACCCGAGATGGTTTGTATTGAGCTTTGCTTGTTGAAGCCTATGAATTCAGTTTTCAAGGCATTGACAGAGTCCAACATCATTGGCAGCATTTTCCAGATGATGTAGGATTACTGTGGTAATGGTGTCTGCAGTGATAACTAGATCATAGTCAATATCTCAACTTTTTTGCAAGATATCAACTCTTGGTGATAAAGTAAAAACTAGATGATGAGTGTTTTAAGCATTGCCAAAGTGGATTTAACCATTAGGCAATATTAATTATCTTTAAATTTCTCCTCGGAGAAGATTTTTCTGTTTGGTGAAGTTCTGTCAATTTTACTGAATCTTGTCTAGTTAATTCTGGGTTCATATATATATATATATATATATATATGTATCTAACTTAATTTGGCATTAAATGACCTACAGTGATTGACATACTCAAATTAGACTTCTACTTCAGCTGAAGAGTAGAAGTCTAATTTGTTTGTCAAGAATGGTAAATTCAATCTTAGATAGGAGTCAGCATAGTTAACAGCCCTCCCCTTTTCACTTTTTCATTTAGGCCATAGTGGCAGCTTATCAGATATTTTAATGTACAATTTTTTTATTTTTAAGGAAGAGCGATTCTAGGCTCACATACATGATCCAGAATATTGTTAGAGAAGACACCTCTCTTAGGCAATCTGCAACTTGGCTTGAGCCAGAAATCCATTCAAGTTTATGTATTACCTTTTGTTTGAGCATTTCATGAATAATTGCAGTTTCAATTCTCAGTCTTTTATCCAATATTTGAGTAGATGAGTGAACAGAATCGTATAGGCCTGCATTGTCAATTTTGCATATTACTGGAAGATTTTCTGGCTTGTCTTCAATGCATAAAAGTTCTACAAGATATTTTCTATAAAAAGTGCAGGCTTCTATAGTATCAACCATAGCAAGTGTCTCTGCTGCTTGCTTACTTTTCACAACTCTCTTGACTCTGAGATTGTCATGAAATAAGAACATAACTATCATTGTCACCCACAATAAAGACAATGTATCCTGTTTGTGATCCTCTATTGTTAAATCCAGCAAATCCTGCATTGCTATATGCTCCAGATTTAAATGTAGACTTACTATCCTCTGCTTTCATGTTTCTTTTATCTTTCTCAGGCAAAGTATCTAGGTAACAATTATACCAAGTCAAGCCACATACTGGTCTGGAACAACCTGAGTCTAAAATCATGGCACCAATAGTTTGTCCTAGGAGTGTACTATCCCCATCAACAACAATTTCTCTCTCTGAGCTTGGATGTTACTTAGATTGTCTAGGATTGTTTTGTCCATATTCTGGTACAGGTGGTTTGGTCTGGGCTAGAAGTAGTCTAGTTTGTTCTTAAGCTTGTGGCACTTCTTGCAAGACTTCCATTGGATGATCAGTTGGAAGTTCAGAAACATTGTCCATCTCATCACTAGGTTCATAGTCCTCCACAAAAACGTAGTGTAGACATAGCTATTCCCAGTGTCATCTCTATACTGGGCCATGAGGAAAAACCTTGACATTGAAGCAACATGCATCAAATGACTTCATGATGACTACTGGTACCCATCAGGGATGTTTGTCTCAATGAGGTTCAAAGTACAGCCTTGTACTGTCTGGTTACCTTGGTGGCATCTTCAGAGTTTGGAGTCATCTCAGCCTTTGATGGCACCTTGTATTGCTTGCCCTGAGGTATGTGTGCTGGTGAGGGAAGCAAAGAATCAATCCTAGTCTGTATTTGCTGGGCCAACAAGAGTTTGCTTGGAGAGAATCCACAGGATGTTGGCATTCACTGGTTGGTTGGGTTTTATGGCATATCAACCACTGTAGGTCATTTAATGCCAAATTAAGTATATATATATATATATATATATATATATATATATGTTAAATATATAGTACTATTAAACGTAAAACTGGCAACATTACTTTTTTCCAGAAACGTATAGCTGGCAGCATTACTTTTTTCCAGAAACGTATAGCTGGCAGCATTACTTTTTTCCAGAAACGTATAGCTGGCAGCATTACTTTTTTCCAGAAACGTATAGCTGGCAACATTATTTTTTCCAGAAACGTATAGCTGGCAACATTATTTTTTCCAGAAACGTATAGCTGGCAACATTATTTTTTCCAGAAACGTATAGCTGGCAACATTTTTTCAGAAACGTATAGCTGGCAACATTATTTTTTCCAGAAACGTACAGCTGGCAACATTATTTTTTCCAGAAACGTACAGCTGGCAACATTATTTTTCCAGAAATGTACAGCTGGCAACATTATTTTTCCAGAAACACATAGCTGGCAACATTATTTTCCCAGAAACGTATAGCTGGCAACATTATTTTTCCAAAAACCTATAGCTGGCAACATTATTTTTTCCAAAAACGTATAGCTGGCAACATTATTTTTTCAAAAACATATAACTAGCAACATTATTTTTTCAAAAATGTATAGCTGGCAACATTATTTTTTCAAAAACTTAGTGAGGTTTAGGAATTTGTTTTATTAACTTCTTAAATTTAATATCATTAATAGTCTCATGTGGTGGAATATAGATAGAACAGATATTTACTGTTTTTTGCAATGTTTTGACAGCAATTATTTGGAGTTCACTGTTTATGATTATTTGGTGTTGAGGTATGTCTTTCCTAACTAGGATAGATACATCTCCAGAAGCTCTGTGTCCGTCTTTGTGTAAGTGATTGTATGAATTGTAATTTTTAATGTTTAGTTGGTTGGTGTCCTTGAGAAATGTTTCTTGAAAGCATACAACTTTGGGGTTATATTTATCAAGGAGTATTAGAAGTTCTTCATAGTTGGCTCTAATTCCTCTGCAGTTACATTGTAGAATTATTTTGCAGTTTCATTATGCTAAATTAGATTTATTGTTTTTCCTAGATTTGTTTATATTGCTCAGCTCTTCAGTCTCCATTCTTTCTATCGAGCTAAATCTATTTTTGGTATCAACCTTTGATGTTGATAATTCTGTAGATTGACTTGTCAAATTCGACAACTTTACCTGTTCCCGTGAGGATAAAGTTTGAGTATTGTCTATTTTAGATTGTAGGGCACGTTCTGTCTTATCATTGTTTGGTTCAGGGTTTAATGTTTGATTTTTCCCAAGATTGTCAATTTTATAAGTAGGAGAACGGCTTGATGATTTCTGCGACTTTTGTTTCTTAGAAGTGGTTTGTGTCTGTGCTGTTGTTTTTGTAGTTGTTTTAGTGGAAGATTCTCCTTTGTCTGCAGGATTACTTTGAGTAGTTGGTGTTTCTGAAACTGTAGCTGTATTGTTTTTATCAAGACCACACAAGGCTTTTATCTTATTCATAAAATTGTCCCAGTCTCTCAGGTTCAGCTGCATTAATGTTTTGACAAATTCTTCATATTTGTTCTGTTGATTTTTTTCCTGATGGACTACTTGGGAATATGCGGTAGTGTTCAACCCTACTACCATCTTCCGTGCTTCTTGGTAAGGAATGTTATTTTTGTGCTTTATTGATAGAATTTCCTTTTCTCTTCTCCAACTGTCACAAGATCTTGCATAGACCGGATGATCACCACCACAGCACATTTATTGGGAAATTCTCATTCATTCATGTGATGGTCAGGATCTTTTTGGCCACATTTCCCACACACCTCTCGTCCTCTACACATATCTTAATAATGTCCATATTTTTGACATTTATAACATCTCAGAGGGTTAGGCACAAACTGCTCGACCCTCTCCATGGTATAGCCTACTTTAATTTTCACTGGTATTTTTGGTGAGTTAAATGTCATTATATAAGTGTTTGTTTCTATCATTTTACCTTCAGTTTTTATTGAAATTCGTTTAATATCAATGACATCTTGTTTTTTCAACTCTTTCTTAATTACTTCTATTGTACATAAAAACTCCCTTACTTGGGGTTCAGGGATTTGTGAGGGTATGTTTTTACTGGAACGTTGTGGAATATAGTCATTTTTAGTAGAAAATCTGCATGTTTCTTCTTTTCCACTTCAACAAGCAGTGTCTCATTTTTCAATTTCTTGACAGTTAAAGGTGTTAAGTTGCCTGATATCACCTTTTCTATTATAAAGGGAGATAAATTTGTGATTGGTGAGCTACATGACTATATAACAACAAATCTTGGAAAGGATGATTCCGTTTCATTATCTGAAGAAGAATCAGATTCTATATAATTGCGTTTAAGTTTTTTATTTGTAGAGGAAGCCATACGTGTTTTTATGTTTTTTGCTGGTCCCATGCTCCTCTACCCACCACGGAGTCCAACTTATGTTGGGAATAAACCAAGGGGGAAACCCATTCGCCTTGGCTTGGACGGGGATACAAAACCAGTATACTCATACCAAGAGTATGTTTCTGAATCTCTATCA